TGCGAGGGCGGCCGCGGCCGCCTCACGCTCCGCACACCCAAGACCTCCCTCCTTGACCTCCTCCTCAGACCTCTTTCTCGCTCCTGAGACTTCCTCGTTGCCCTCCTATCTACGTTTAAAATTATTTCCCTTGCTGTAATAAAACAGGAGAATTTCACACCGCTCTGCTCAGCCCCTTTTCTTTTTTCACCCGCCGCCGTCCTGCGGCCGTGCCCGTGCCGTGGTTCCAGCAGTCCGCCCCCCGCTGAAGCCGTTTCTGCCTTTTCGTGCTTTTCCAGGGTAGCAGGGTGTATTTGGAACCGTCACGCTTCAGATAAAATGCAGCCGTGGTGGGAGGAATTGCACTTAGGAGGCTCCGGGTAGTGACAGTTGTGGTGACGGTCCCATTTTATAAATTTCATCCTGTTGGGAGTTTCATTTCATTTCATTTCTAAACGAACTGTCAGATGCTTTCACTCTGACTGAGTTTTGAAGAGCAGAAGTAAAACGAACCAAAAAAGACCTCTCCACATGAGCGGAAAGATGTAGCAGTTAAAAGTCCTCCAAATGTTGAAACTGGAAATGTGGAGGACAGCTGGAAAAGGCTTAAACACCGCTTTCCTATATATCTGTAATAATGAGTGTCTGGCAAAGGAAGACAGAAAGCAGTTTTATTTCTGACAAGGCTTATTTAAGAAGCACTTCATATTTTTAGTAATTTTGAAGTAACTCAAGAGGAGGCCAGCTATGAAACTGTATTACTGAATTTACTGCAGTCCCAGTAGAAGGGAAACATACGAGTAATACGCTTTCAGCCAGAGCACAGAAATGAAGATAAAGCATCTGAAAGGTATGTTATTTGGGAGGACTGAGCCTCAGCAAAGAGATCAGTTTCAAAATTAAGGTAAAATCTCTGAAAAAGGACTTTAGCTGAGGAAAAACCTGCATCACGCCAGAGCTTGTGGAGCGTAGATAGCTCTCGTGTGACGTTAGCTCTGAAACGCTACATGAAATGGCACGTGAGACAGAAAAGCAGGTTGAGTGTGATGGAAGAGTCCACAAAAAAGCATGTGGAGCAGTGTACTTTTTGGCATAGAAGACAAGCTAAGATACTGTGAGTTGCTACATCACTTGTAACGTTTCTCTCTTGGATCTAAAGACCTGCAAAATATTAACTGTAAGACTCATTTTTTAAAGGGTTGAGGTATCTGGAAAAAAAAAATCCATAAAATTTATTTGTGCATGAAAAAGACACTGGATTATGAAATGGCTTCAAGAGCCAGGTGGAAACAAGACAGTGTCCAGACCACAAGCAAAATTTGGGAAGCAGCAAGGAAAAACTTTTAATGTTTTTGACAGGTAATGTCAGAGTCAAAACTGATTCAGAACAACATAAAATTAAAAATTAAATTTAAATGTAAATAGGAGCTGGAACAAAGCTAATTATTAGATGAAGCTGTGAAAAAAAAATACTAAAGGAAAATTACCCTGATCTCTACCTGTTTCTATGGGAAAGCCCATGAAGTGATTCAGACACTGAGGTGCTGGCCTGTAGAGTAGGAAGAGAATCAGGAAGGCAGAGAATTATTTTGTAGATTTTAAAATCGGAAAATATTTAATGATCCATGTTCAAAATGCATATTAGAGAATCTGATACAGAAATTACTGGAACAAAAGACAATTTGTGGCTAAAATGAAGCACATTTTAGAAAGGTACGAAGCCTTCATGCTGCGGCTAGAGTAGAACATTTCTTCGATTTTTGCAGGGATTATTTCTGCTCGTTTAAGATAAAAGAGAACTGCTCTTTTTTTCTAGCCTCAAAATTATAGTGTGCTGTTTAACATTTGGAAGGTTTTGAGACACTCTCAAAATTTCTCTAGTATTGTGACAAAATTGGAGGCACTGTAATGGGATGGGCATGTGCTCACTGGTTTGGTGGTTCATACCTGACTGGTTTGAGTGTGTGCTATCTGACCATCCAGTCATATGATGAAAACACATCGTAGCAGAATACGAGGTTTTCAGTGAAGGTATCTGCAAACATGTACCTATATTTGAAAGTGAACACACTGTAAGATTGTATTAAAATTAGGATTGAGAAACTTAATATCATAGATTATTTGGGTGTATTAGTACAACTTAACATTAGAGATCTTGAAACCTAACATAAAAAGAAATTACCCTTATAGCGCTCTAAAATATTAACTGTATGTGTGGTTGTTCTTCAAAATTATCAGATGCTTAAATGTTAGTTACTTACCTTGAAATGTGTACTAAAAGACTCTCGTCACTTACTAACGTTTATAGAAACACCTTTTTTTTTGAGCGTGGCTAAGAGAATAGATTTATTTTGCATGCTTAAATGACATTGTGGTCATATACCCCAAATACCTTACTGAAAATATGTGTAAAATGTCATTTTGATTTCACATGGTAGAACATTTGCTTTCTAAGAGTTTGAGAAGTTTTACATTTATACATTCACAATCCCAAAACTATTAGGAAAGGTTTTCTAGAATCTGTTCTAATAGGGATCCCACATTAAGTTATAGGGAAACATAAGTTACATTTGATAGAACTGATCTGAAAATGTGGAATTGTCAGTGCATACTCGCATAGCTCTGCAAACTAAAAAAGTAACATTATTGCAGATTGGCACAAAACTGTTATTCTGCACAGTATTTTATGTTACTATAGGGATTTTGACAAATACATATGCTGAATTGTAGTTTTAGAAGCTAGCAAGCAAGAAGTTACAAATCTGTTTTACAGTATTATATGCAAGAATATAATCATGTTGCAGAACATTATGTTACATGTTCTGTAAATCCGTTTCAAAGACTATTTTCAGATACTCATCAGATGATATTTCATTAAAATGGCCATATAAAGGGTGGAACCCAGAAAAATTTCAGATCCATTTTTAGTTATAGAAAACTGGTTTATATTTTTTTACATCAAAAAGCTGACATTTGCCGTATTGCATCTTGTTTATCACATCATTGCTGTAAATTGGACACAGGCACAGAAAAGTCTATGTTTAAGTATTTTCATATTTTACTCTAAATCACTGTATGAATTCTAATTCCAGTTTATTAGCATATGTTTCTTTCCTCTGAAGATTTATTTGCAAATGTATGGACTGACTGGTTAAAACACATACTAGATTTCATCTAGCAAGCAACCAAAGCAGAAACATTTTGAGAAAACTAAAATTTTTCATATTCAGAAATAATACAGTCTGACAACTGCCATTCCATAGCCTGAAGTCATGCTTCAGATACCTTACTATAGTTAGGATTTTTCCTTTGAGTTGGCAAGCTGGGACAACAGTTTGAATTTGGTAGGAGTGTTATTACAGACAATATGCTAGTGGTCTTGTATGAGATCCTACAAATTCTGTTCATGTTCTTCCATCAGATAACTGAATTCAAGGAAGTTATAGACCATGGGTATTATTGCATTGCATTGCAGTTAAGTGAGATTTGTAAGGACAGTTGAAGTATTTTATGTCAGGTACTGAAAAAGTGAAAGCAGGCAAGCGGTGGGTTTATAAGCTTTTACAAGTTCTGATAAAGAAGCAGAGAACTCTCAAATTCAGTAATTAGTCTTTAACCTAGGAAAGTTCTGAAGTTTCAAGATGAGTTGTATTTGTGCAATATTTGGGATCGGTAGGAAGTCAGGTGAAAGGAAGATTGGGTTGCTAAATATTGTGAACTCTAATCTGCAGAATGTTTGCCTAAGCTGTTGATCTTGGTGAGCTATTTGAGTGTTAGATAAGGATAAATTTCTTCAAAGGTATAAGTTTAATGATTTTCCCTGTCAGTGTCAGGGTAGTGTGGTGTAAGATGGGTACGAGCATGGTTGATGACAGTAGCAAGTTTGTATATGTAATTCACATGATGTTTATTTCCACAGCGATTGTTGGGTGAAAGTTGCCAATGAGGCATAGAATATGTATTCCTTACAGAGGAGATGAGAGGTACTGATTTTACTGTGTTTTGGGTGATAGCTGCTGTTGTGGAAGTGGAGTGTCTAATCAATGGCATTCTTGCGTTGAGTCATTTGATAGATATTAAGAGTATGGCCATTGCGGTATCCAAGCAGTTGATGTTGATCCAGTTTGAAGAAAGGTGATTATAGACCTTGCAGTAGAAATTAATGAGAGCCCTAGTGTAATTAACCTAACCAAAATAATTAACTCGTGGCAGCTCATGTAGGTGTGTGCGTATTTGTGTCCATGTTTTGAATTAAAGGTTCACTTCTCAAAATAACTTTTCTGGCTGAGGAGATAGATGTTCTGTCCTAGACCTTGTAGAAACTTCTGTCGGACTGGGATGCCATGCTGAGCTGAGATGGTAGGCAAGTCTAATGCTTTGAAACAAACCTTTTCCAGTATCTATTTTGGTACCACATTGGAGGGCTGGTGTTAACATGGGCATAGTGAGTTTATTTCCAACGGAGGAAACTAATGTACTTAAAGATCCTGCCTATTATAGTGAAACAAGCACGTCTCAAGTGTTGGAAGAGATCATGGTTATAAACAACCTGTAGGTACTTAATTTGTCAATAAATTTTGCACTCATTTCTGCCTTTTGAACTAAAACAAATACATAAATGTGGTATTTATAATACCTGTAGGATACTTCAGTTTGGTTTATATTTTTCCTGTTTATTTCTACTAATACTAGTATAAAGTTCACATCAAGAATAATTCTAAGCTGCTTAATAGTATTGAAAGAATGCAGATATTAGTACACTTCTAATCGACAAAGGCATCTTCTAATAGACTTCTTATGTGACAGTGACATGTTTTCATGAATTTCATTGCTGTCCTGTTGTATGGAGGAAGAATGACAGTATTTCTTCTTGTATTCTCAAGTATCTGATGTCACTGTAATGACAGAAAGTGTATTTTTTTCTACTAGTGATACAGTTCAGTGTATTTAAAATATAAAGGTCAATGAAAAATCACTTAATATCTATCCAGACATTTTGAAAAAATACTGCTTAGAAATCAAAATATATTTTATACATATGTAGTATATATGTATGGAAATGAAAATTGCAAAAATAAAATTTTATTCAGATGTTTGTCATGCATTTCACATATATTAAAGAAATATTTTGTAACAGGATGACATTGCAGTGTATTATCAAAACTCCTTTGTTCCATATAATGTTATGTCATGAAGAAAAGAAATTAATTTTAGGGGAAAGGATTTTACTTGACTGATTTTTGTTTTGTTTTGGCATACAGGATTGGCTGATATATTTTAAAATGTGCGCCAGTTGCTAAAAAGATTTTACGTTTCACCGTTATGTGCTCCAGTTTTCTAAAATACAAAAAAAAACCCCCAAAAACCCAACCAAAACCCAAACCGTCCTGGTCACTGAGGAAATAAAACTTGGGGATAAAGAACAACATAAATGTGTATTAGAATGGGCTAGACTTTTCTCCCGTGTGTTACATTAAATACTATATTAATTCAAAGAGGTCATAATATGCATGAAACAAAGTGGAACACCCACTTCTCATCCAGAAAATTAGATTTCTTTTTCACCTGGCAAAACTACTGAACTGCTGGCTGGTCAAAATATTGCTCTGCACCTTTTGACTTAATGTCTCATGTCTGTCACTTCCTTGATGATTGTTGGCATGTAATTGCTTGTTGAGTCTCTTAAACCTTGTTCTCTTTCTTGAGAGATTAGTGATTTCTTCCCACTGCATCAGACCTAGAGATTTCTATGCGTTTTTACTGGTTCAGACTACATTCATTTTGTGAATGTCTGTAAATTTTCTGGAACACGGTTCGTTCCCAGAAAATCAAAATAAGTTAAATGAGTGAACCTCCCTTGAAAATAAACTGACATTTTCGTCTTCAGCAATGGCACAAGCTGTGACAGGTTCTCATAAGAGCTCCTTGCATGACATTTATCCAGCAGAAGGCAAAAATACTCTTTGTATGTAAATATTCACCTCCCTTTATGGTTGCTGAGACTTTTTCAAGGGGGGAAAAAAAGCTGTTCTGCAATTCTGTCCAAAAACATTATATTAGTTTCTTCTATTATTTGGTTGATTTGAAAGTATTGTCAGAAAGGAAGTTTATTTTTCTTCAGTCATTTCAAAATGCATGCATCTAATTTCTTGTCTTTCCGTAACATATCTTACAGAGACATCAGAAAGCAAAATTACCCTTTCTCCCTAAAAACTTTGCAATCTTTATTCTGATTTAGTGTTCCTCTTTATTTCTGTTCTCAAGTATCATATTACACCCTTATCCTTCATGAAGGTTCACTAACTAAATGTTATTGGATGTTCAGAAGTTCAAATAAAGAACTCACTTCTAAAGATGGCTTTCTTTTCTGATTTTGTAGTAGTGAGAAGTAGAGTAAGAAGCACCACACAGACACTGAAATAATATTCTTTCTGATCATAGCTTAGACAATATTTATTCTTTTTTAGGTCGAAAGTTTGTTTGCTGGACTCATGCCTTGGTAGTGTAGTACCATGAAAATTAACATGTGTTGTCAACACTGTTGGGGCTGTTTCAATAAATGGCAATATATGCCTAACCAGTAACTGTGGTCGTGCAAGAAAATTAAGAGCATTAGAGATGAGGTCAATAAAACCAGCTATTTTGATTATCATGCAGGTGGATAGGCCAGATTCAGGAAAGCTACTGTGTTTTCTGGGTGCAGTACCTACCCATGAGACAAAAGGCAAACCAGGAGACATTTTCTAGATCTTTGTAAGTTTGTTTGCTAGACTTGTTAGCTTTTACATATTTTAAAAGAATTTAAAAATTCTATATTTGGAAATTTTCTAAATATTCTAAATATTTCTAAATAAATATTCTTTTATTTAGGAATCTAAAAATCATTAGAAAAACTATATAGAAATAGTTTTAGCTAAAATACAGAGGAGTTAGAAAATACAAAACAATCTCTGAATAAGTAATTGATTCATAGCAATATGTTTCACTTAAAAATAAATGTACATTTCTGAAAAGGAAATATTTTCTAAAGAACTAAGTAATGTCAAACTGAAGCATTTCGTCCTGAGTCAAACAAAACATGAATTGGAATCTTTTACTCACACGTGATTGGTAATAAAAATTAATTTAATTCTCCCAGCAGATTAACCAGCTACAAAGCAGCAAGGAAAATATGTTAATATAATGATTGTAAATCAAAACATTTCATATATTGAACAACTGCATTTCTTTAAAAATCTAATTGTTTATATTGTCAGATGATGGTGACTAGGAACTGTATAACGAGCAAGTTTGTAAACAAAAGAGAAGTGATAATGTTGAGTGAATTCTCTTGTCAATTATACTAAAGTAACTCTGCTAAAACAATAAGTTTTTCCACATTTACACTAGTTCAGCTGAGAGTAAAATTTGACCTCAGTTGTGAAGGGAATACAGCTGAAGAAAAATGAGTTTTCCTGCTTAAAGGAGCAAAATAAATGGTTACTTCTGTCTGATACTACATATTTATTGCTTGTAGTTCTCTGTCAGCTCTATTACACAGATGTTAAGCACAGTTTTACTTTTTCTTTTCTGTACAGATGATGACAACTTTTCCGATGTGTTTTGTGAAAACTCCAAGAAGCTTATCAATGTACATTTGTTTGCCCTGGCTGCTAAGTATTATTCTTTGTCCAACCTTGGAGTGTGTACCCCATTAGAAGACTTACTTGAAGCACTGAGAGGAGACAATCAAGGAAAACCAGGTATGTTTATATTTGTATTTAACTTTTTACTTATTTACTATAGGACCTGAAGAGTTTTGGGTTTGGAGGGTGGTTTGGTTGGTTTTGTTTCTCGCTTCAATTTTCATTTGTTCCTAGGCTGTTTCTTCATTGCCTTTGAAAAGAAAATGTATTCTCTTGCTAAAATTTGAGCGGAGGGGTCACAGCATTTAGTACCTATAGATCTTTCCTGAGATTCATTTTTAAAGGAGATGAGATAGGCCAGCAGACACAATTCTCTTTGCTTTTCTTCTCTTTGAGCGGCAGGAATCATGGTTGCTATTCTTGTTTTTTTTAAAAAAAGTCTCACCTTAAAATCTGGCAAGTATGGGAGTTTTTTGTTACATCGTTTGTTTAGTATTAAATACATGCTTTGGTGTTTTGCTGAATATGGCCCAATAAGTGTTTGATGTCTCAAAAAAAGAAGATTTTATTCATTCTGTACGTTTTGGACCAATACCAAATGTATGTCATAAAACTAGAGTAATTTCATTTTCTCTAGTTAAAGAAATTGAATTAAAAAACTCACAGGTTGGCATCAAGTTGAACACTGGAAGTCTTACCCCTAATTATATTTTTTGTATTAGATGATAAACTTATTTATATGATAAATATAATTTAGATTATAAACATTTGTACTTACTTGGACTGCTGTCATTTTCACTAAAAATGTACTCTTCATGGAGTCCTCAGTCATTATAGATTTCTTATTGTCTTTCAGATTTCATTAGTTTTTCAGAGACAGACTAAGCAGCTCTCTGCCTTTGCTTTCTAGTGTGTTTTATCTCTATAATACGTCAAAACTCTGATGTTTCTTATCCTAGGTGATAGCACTATAATATATGTTGGGCATCTCTCCCATTTTCTACAGCAATCTTCTCTTTCCAATTTTACCATTTTCCGTGGTTGGCTCCCCAGTTTTTCATTTCTTCAGAATTACTAAAATGTCACAGCTGAGAGAGTCTTAAGGGCTTATTGTGCATTGGTCTTACTTTCTGGCTTCTTTCCTCTGTTTTTTGTTCATCTGAAGCCCTTTCTTTTTGTTTGACAACTGTATACTGCTTTTCTTCCACTTGCTTTTTAGCTCTTTTAATTTTTAGCTCTTTTTTATTGCTTAATTTTCTGTAATGCTGTAGTTCTACCTTGTTATACTGGTACCTGAGTTCATACCTGGATTAGCTTTCTTAAACAAAACTACAAGGATTCTTTCATCTTCTTGTCATGCAGAGTGGAGCATCACAGTAAGGCAGTTGCTGAATATTTTGTTCTGTGTCTTGTAGGAGTGCTGCTCAGTTGGGTAACTGGGGCCTGGGTTTGTGATGCAGTAATTTTAAATTGTACTTCATGGAAAAAATAAAATATTCCAAATGTATACAATGGTATTATAATTCAAAACCTTTGTGTTGAATTGGCAGTAAGTATCAGTTAAATTAACTTAATTGAGTTTCCTGGTAATCATTTGGCAGAAGCAAAGTACCAAATTATGGATTCATAAAGTTGCCGAATGAAAGTTGTGATCTTTTAGCTTTAAGCTATTTCACATATTTTGAACTTAATTCTGTATTTTAGAATATATTCATTTCCTGACATACTAAAGCTTGTAAGTCAAAAGAAGTGTAAGTCTGAGAAAACTGGCAACTTTACGATGGCCTTGCTCATATTCTGAAAAGTATGCATCAAGATAATTCCATTTATGTTTCAGATGTTTTTAATACATTTTCTTCTTCTAAGACAAACATTCTTATGAGCCTATTCCCACAGTTTGCATACCTGCGTAGTTCTCTAACTTCTTCACCATCTTAATGTAGACATATTGCTATTCTTCCTTGGAATAACTGGTAAGCACAAACATTTTAAGTGTATTGTGGACCCAGCTACTCAGAACAGAATTCTGAGTCTAAAGGGCTTTCTCCCTTGCTTCCTAACAAACGTCATTGTGGACTTACTGCACTATCAGGTTGCTTGCACTGAGCACACGGGATCCAGAAGAGCCTGGCCCAAGAGGAGGAAGCCAGCAGGGAAAATTTCTCTTGTTACAGGGTTTATATCTGATATAAGAAGCTAGTGTTGCTAGAGTATTGGATTAAGAGTACTCTCTACCTTTGCAATGTGTTTATGGCCAAGGTAGTAGTCATGCAGTGACTGTTAATGAATCTGTCTTTAAATTCCGTGAACTGAAGTATCAATCTGCCTCAGTTGTTTTTAGTATATCGTTATCCCAGTTCCTCACTCTGGCTTAATGGAATTAAATCACAGTCGTGTCACTTCTGTATAGATGGTGGTGTCTGGTGTGGACTGTGAATTTCTTTTTTTATCTCATGTGTCTGATTTTCCACAGGTAACTGGAGTATAAAACCCCTGCACCCTGCCGTAGGAGATTTTAGGAAGATCTGCATTAGCCCTGTATAAAAGACAGTCTCTCCTCAATTTATTCATCTGTAAATGGCATTTTACATGCGGTTGAAGCGGTTTTTCAAATGGAAAACAGCTACCTATGCTAGGGATTCACAACAGAAATAAGCAACGTTTCAGTACCAGCTAAAACTAACATTAAGCTTTCTGTTATTCTATTATATCCAAGGTACTTCTGTGAAGTATTTGAACCCCACTTTCTTTTTTCATCACACAAGGAGCTGAATCTCTAAATTTCTTATGGTCTTTGAAATTAGTATTTTTTCTGCTTGCATCAGTTGTACACATAATAAGGAAATCTACATGTGTAATTATTTGTTTCAAGAAAGTAATTTTGTGATAGCAGAATGAATTTACAGTTTGTTTTTAGAACTAGTGTACGTAGTTTTTTCAAATTTACAGTTGTCTTGGCAATATAAAACAGTCTCCAAATACAGATGGTCTATTAGATTGTAATATGCCTGGTTGTTTTTCAAAATAATGTTAAAAGATCGATCACAATTTTGCAGAAAATGCAGCGACAGTGAAATTTATTAAAAATCTATAATTTTCTGTAAACAGTATCATTTTCCCTGAGCTGAAATATAAGTAGAGTGTTCATTCTACAAAAAGTAGGAAAAGAGGTCTAAAAATAGTCCAGAACTTTAGTAGCTGAGGTGATAAATACTTTATGAGCATAGGTATAAACGAACTGTGATTTTTTTACCCGGAACCTCAACATTTGTAAGTTGGGTCTTGTTTCTGGGTTTCTGGATTTCTTCCATATTTGAAATACTTAATTTGGCTTAAGTAGTGTGTGAAATGCTGCTTCACACAGCATTACCCTATTCAGTCTTTGGAGTTCACACTACAGCAAAGAGTGAAAGGTGTGATAGGTGGAGATAGTTCAAAGTGAGAGTGCTACTTTGGAGAACAAACTTAACTCTTATTTCTGTCAAGAAGTTAAATGTCCGTTTCTTCCTGTTCCTGTTCTGCTGCTTCTTCTGATGAGCTTATCCAGACACGGAAACATTCAAATATAAACAAAAAAAGAGACTTTCTTTCTTCTTTTTTCATTTTTTCTGTCTTTTTTTTCTTTCATTTGAAATGCTTACCAATTAAGACTTTTTTAGCACACCATGTAGATCTTCACAGTTTTAAAGTTAAGGAGGGTATTTAACGAAATGACAAACACTTGTTTCTGCTATTTGTTTTATTTAAAATATTTTAGTCTATTTTTTCTTCTTTCAGTTCATAGAGTCTATATTAGATTTTAAGTATTGTCATAACAGTTTATTTTAAAAAAACAGATGTTTAAGAAATAGAGAGATCCTGTGGGTTTTGAGAAAAATAGAGAAAACACTAGGTTTCTCATGAGCTCAGTTCAATTCCCCGCTCTCTTTTAAAAAAGTAACACTCTTGGCTCCCTTCCCAGCATGATCTGATCAAGGAATGAGCAAAGTTTTTGCCTAATGATCAGTTTCTGGACAGATGAACACATACTGTGCAAAAAGCAGAGAATGGGAAAGTACATTAATCTGCCTAGTCATGTAAAAAAGCCTTGTTTTCTATGAGCATGCTCATCAGTAACACCCCAGTTTCCTCTGCCCTCACTCAGACTTACGAAAATTTCCATCAATTTAACTAGAGCCACCTGTCCTGTAGTGTTGGTGACGTAGGAGAAATATGAGGGTTTCTCCCAAGGGAGCAAGCTCTGAGCTCCTCCTGTGGTTGGGAGATGTAGAGATTGGCAAGTGAGTGCTTGATGTTCTCCACAAGCAGTAAACCTGTGGTAGAGATTGACTATCTCATCAACACATTCTCCAGCAACAAGTGATTTTGTACCGTAAAGATGTAGCAGTTCTATAACCCATCCATAGGGTAAATAAAGAAAATAAAAGTGCATGTTCTTGTGAATTTCCCCAGCATCACTCATAACTTTTATTTGAGATATCTCACTTGATATTGTGAGTGAATCAGCAGAGTTAACAAGCCGTACTGTGTGATTATTAATTATCCCTGCCCTTATATTTCATATATGTAAGGGTAAATGTGATAAATGGCACAAAAATAAATATTTTTTAATGAACAGGAAGAAATAGTACATTTTATAGTAATAGGTATTGTCTAATAATATCTGGTCAGGTATTAGATATGCTGCATCTTAAAAAAACACTAGTGGTACTAAGTTTTACAGTGTGTTGAATTTTACTAACTCATCTCTAATTCGGAAGGTTAGTCTTGTAATTATTTAGTGACGTTTGAGTTTAAAATTACTACCCTTAAAATAGAAAAACACTGGAGCTTATTTTTAAGCTGGTGTTTTTTCTGATTGACCATAAGTCTTTATTATTATGGATTGTATTAATATGTATTTATTTTCTCAATCCAATACAGGTGTGAAAACTGATGAGTTTATGAATAATAAAAAATCTCATGAAGTGCAGGTGATGTCAGAGCTGGTAGACACAATAGCGAGTTATTGTGATATAAAGCAGGTAAGAAGGCATTTCTTACTATATGTTACTGTATGCCTTCCAAATTATTCTCCTTATTGTGTTCAAATACCCTAATTTGATATTCTGTCAATTCCGTTCTTATTTTTCCTGTAAATAATTGTAGCTAAAGAATAGCCTTTAGGGCCAAGCTGAAGGACAATCGTGTTTATGTAATGTATCATTCTCAAGAAACTGCCTTTCAGTGCCAGTCATTTTCTCATTCATGAAAAAATTGAAGAAATGATAATCATCCTGTATGTGTTGAACAGCTGAAAATCGTACTGGTTTTTGCTATGCATGGGTACTGCCTTGTTTATCAAAATTGTATTGCTAGCAATTTAGATAGGCATCACTAGGAGAGGAAAGCTTCATTCTTCTCCTTCTATCAGGCAAACGAGTACCACCAAGGCAGAAAATCTGAGAAATTTTGAAAGCTTATCTTCTTACTCTAGTACTAGGGGTTTCAGTCATTTCCAATTGTTTAATGCTGTTCACCTTTCGTTAACATGGATTGAGATCTTCAATTAGGGATTTAGTCAGGACTTTTTTAGTTTGAAGAGAGACCGGATGAAGCAGGGATTTATGTAGCAGAATGTGCATGAGGTAGATTTTGTAGAGCACATAGGAAATCTGGGCACTCAACACCATGGTCACCAGTTACTACTCTATGAATCAGCCATTTTATTCATCAGATGGCAAGTTCGTCCTTGGTTGGTGAAGAATTCCAGGATTCCTTTCTCAAAATGTGATTGTAACTTATCCTTTTTTTTTTTACATGCAATTATGATTGCACAGTGCACTAAATCACTGTTACATTAAAACCTTGTAGATGTTTACTTGAGGATCTGTTGACAAAACACAAAGATCTCAACAAAACCTGAATTTTTTCAGTACCATATTTCACGTTCTATTAGACAAAAGTAACACCAATACCATATCCTCAGTTTACATACATGTACTTTTTCTGTAAGCTTTTTTTTTTTTGTTAAACTTTCTGTTAGATTCCATGTCTTAGACCTTTGTTGCAGTAAGACTACATTTTTAACCAGTTAGGTTAACTGAGTTGATTTAAACATTTTAATCTCTGTAATGCTAGTAACTGACTAATGTAGCTTCATCCTGCTTTACACTGTAGATGACTTGTGAATCTGGAGACTGCATTTGATTCCTTGCTACATCCAAGCTGCACTTGCTCTCTGTGCAAGGGGCTGTAAATGTAAATGGAGACTGATTTCCTCCAGCTTAATATTTGTTCCCATAAAAATTTGTGGAGAACAAACTATATTTGTTTAAAACCAAAGATTAATAAGGTATCTGCTCAGATTTTGTTCTGAACATATTCCCTCTGAGCATTTTGTTTCCTAAGAAAGTATGTCTCAGTGTAGTTTGAAGTTAATATATCAGATGCGGATAAGGGAGGAGAGAGAGTTGGGCAGACCAAGTCTGTATTAATATGGTCTCTGGTATATTTTGTCCCACGAGTTGTACCTGGCCTTTGTAATGAGAGAGTGCCAGTTGGCCTGCTTCATTCCTGTGCCAGGGGGCTTGCTAAAGATGAATAGTGTGGCTAGTCGTGTGCCACGGCCATGCTCTGTTCGCTTTAGTGGTAGAGATGTAACTGCAGCATCCTGAGTTCCTGCTGCTGCCACACAGACCGAAGGGCAAGCCACAAAACTTGGGTTCAGCTCTCAGTTGCTGAAGCTGAACTTTGATTTGGAAGTTATTTGGCTCAGACTGGGTTTAATTTAGATAATGAAAATGATGCAGTGCTCTTGATAGGCTTGGGTCAGGCCTGTGGCATCCCTGGGAACGGAGATCAAAACTCTGAATCTCGACCATCTGTTTTGTGAGGAACAACTGATGAAGGCAAAGTTTTAGGCAGTCTTCTCCTTACAACTGGGATTACCAAGTAAACAGAGAGCTGCAATTAAGGCCAAATATTACTGGATGAGACGCAATCAATTTGTGAGCATCTGCAGTCGCTTACAGTGCTGGAAGGCGATCTCTCCAGCAGCTCTTCCAAGAGCCAGCTGCCGGGACATGTGTGGGTGCCCTCAGCAGCCGTAAAGTGGGTGCGTTCTGTAAAGAACAGAAGTACAGTAGCAGGAGATTTGTCAAAGTCATTTCCTCTGTCATTAGCATGTTTTTTACCTTGCTTACCTTTTGCTCCAGGCAAGTATTAGTTGTTCAAGTGTTGAGGACTCTCCCGTACTGAAAAAGCTGTAGGAGAGTGTAGCTTGCTTGTAATGCAATGCTAAATGTTCTCTGCGCCCGCTCGAAGGTGGTGTTTCAAATAGCATTTTCATTTACGTTTTAAATAGTTCCTGTGAGATTCAGGAATGAAAGGAAAACCCATATTCAGAGAGTAAAAAAGCAGAGCCACCTTAATGACCTAACCTAAGTCCCGATGTAGCTGGTTACTAATAAAATCTCAAACCAATCATTATTAAGTATCTGTCAATATGCTGCAATTTCATCCAGTGCTTATGCACTTTTCTCAGACAGCTTGGGGTATCTTTAGACAAAGGATTATTTTCTGTTTATTTTTGGAAAAAATTGTAACAGCTAATGAAAAATATTATTGCAGTATATCACTGAATATGAAATGCTGACTGCTCTATATTAACTTTTTTCCATTTTAGTCATACACTGTAGCAAAATTTATTTGTGCTAAGTTACAAATCCCTAATATATGAAAAGAGCTTTCCAGTTACATTTTTAAAAAAAGAAAAGAAAAGCCTCCTTCTCAGTTATTAAAAAAGCGACTCTTTTTGTTTTGGTTACCTTTCAACTTCAAAAAATATAGGAACTGTAAAGTTTTAGGGGAGTTTTTTCCTTATTGATTTTTTCCTATCTTTCTCACAAAGCAAAATATATGCAGCATTTAATTAAAAAATCTAGAGCTATGAAAGCACAACACATGTTTTACAACAACATGGGTCCTCAGGGTGTTTCTTTCAGATATTACAGATCATTGACGGCTTGAAAAATGCCCTTCATTTCACCTCCATACCCATGATATATAATGGGTGGTAAAGGATATTACTCTCTTGTGGCATTTTATTTTATAATGTAGTATAATAAATAGTAAAATGAGAATAAAAGCAAAAACTTTATTACTGCTGTAATCACTTCTAGGTTAATGATTTGAATTAAAACATTGAAGCAAACTAACTGAAGGGTTTTTTTTCAGTTGTTTACTGCCCCTTTTAAGCATTGTTCCTGTTGTATAAATGGAACTTTATTTTATAAAGAAGTTCTTGATTAAACTCTGTAAAAGAAGTCAGTGATGATTCTTCTTTGTTTAAATGCACATTTGTTTTCTTTAATGGATTTGTGAAAGTTTTCCTTGGAAATTGCAGCACGTGCAGCAAGAGTTGCAATGTGTAATGTAAGTATGATATAATTCTGCATTCAGCATCCATTAAACTCGTGTTTTGGTGTTGGGAAATGTTGGTGCTTCTGAAAACAACGTTCTTGATTGCGCTGTGCCAGAAGCTGTGTTTAAACATAGTACCCAAGTCACTATGGACAAGACCTTTGGAGTTCATTATATCATGGAAATTTCATTTTAAAAGTTCATGCTTGGCAGATACGCTGTGGATTGCTGATTGCCTTTCCTTATGTAATCAAGGGAAGTTAAAGCAGGGATTAATTTAATGCAGTCTGTTTGCTTAGCACAAGATCATTGCCTGCTTATTTTTAGTCAAATTTTCCTTTCGTTTGAAATCTCTTCTCCCAGTGCTAATTTAACAATATATTACTGTTTCTTTTTGCTTGGAAACAACTGAAAAAACCTTACCCAAACAGCAGTTTGTCTTCACAGCCACTAGAGGTCACATGTAGGAGTTAGGAATAATTCACTGGCTGACTCTTGTGCCTTTCACAGAAATATTTAAAAACCTTGTAGAAGTGGAGGTGTGCATATTCTGCCAAAGAGTAATATCTTACATAAAATAGTGGGTAAAATTATTCCTTGAACACTCTTCTTTATTTCACTTTTAAATAATCTAGGGGAATACTTGTGATAAATGTGACAAACAAATGACATTTTCAAAAAGTATGGTTAGATCATATCAATTCTATTTCACTAAATACACTCCTGTACTGATTTTATTCAAGAAATTTAAGGATTGTAGTGTACCTAGATAGCAAATATGCAGCAATATCACATGACTAGTGCAGATGAGAAAGCCATGTGCAGCTTGGGTAAACAATTTTTACCTAATAGTGTGTATTCCGTACTGGTTTACATAGTCTTTACTGGCATTGGTTCAAATTTTTCTTTCTAGTTCAAAAGCTGTACAAATCTTTAACTTTCTTAGAATAAGGAATAAATCTTTCTTTTTCAGTAAGAGTACTGCTGTACTGAATATTCTTACTCAGTAAAAAACTCTGCAGTTGAGTTTAGGATGGATCCCTGTAGTGTGTGCTGCTATTTGAACTTACAAATATCAGTATAGGCTTTCTTATGAATGTGTGACAGATCAAGGATAAGACATAGATGTTCTTGAATCAAACACTTTCACGCACATCTACAAAGAAGTCATTATATCTAGTCAGTATAATTTTTGGTAGATACCTGCACAGAAGCGAACATTATCATTTCATTTCCTTAGAGAAATGTCACTCTGCCTATTCTTGTAAAATACGTTGTTATATATTTATTACAAATTAAAACACACATAATATAAAGCTGTGATTATGTACTTAAAGGTCTCAGGTTACCCTGGTTTCTGCTACTGCTTTGTATGGTGTTTTCTTTCCTGTGTTATATCAGTCTCTGAAGTAGCACATGCTGTCAGCCAAGAGACAAGCTAAATTGTCAGCTAGTCATCCACCCCATTTGCTCCTTCCTCCAAACGGGCAGTGAAAGCACGTGACGTATGAGCCCCTTTGTTTTATTACAAAAGCATCCTTATGTTAGTCAAAGCTGTATGGATCATTTGCACATAATGGGAAACTGGTATAAATAAGCATTCTGACATGAAAGAGAGAATTAATATCATCTGTCTTTAGGTCACATTTGAAGTGATTCAGCTAGGTACTGAATCCGAAGATGCTTATTTCTGTACACCTAGCGGTAGTAGACTCCTCGGTATGGGATTTAGGTGCCTAAAAATACTATGAATGCTTTCCTTGCTACATCTATATCCTGACCCAGTTTAGGAAGGGCAGGTTGCGTTGTTAGTGATTTATGGTTATTTTCCTTAACAGCAGGAAGTTCTGTGTCAAAAAATATACTCAAAGTCTTTCCCAGAAGAGTCAAGACGCGTGCGTTGCTTAAGCATTGCAGTGTTTGTTTTCTGGAGCAAATCAGTTATGACTTAATTCTGTGTTTTAATGTCAGGTGGATCAACAAAGCAAATCATAGAATCATAGAATCATAGAATGGTTAGAGTTGAAAGGGACCTCAAAGGTCATCTAGTTCCAACCTCCCTGCCATGGGCAGGGAAACCCTCCACTACACCAGGTTGCCCAAAGCCTCATCCAACCTGGCCTTGAACACTTCCAGGGATGGGGCATCTACAACTTCTCTAGGCAACCTGTTCCAGTGCCTCACCACCCTCACAGTGAAAAATTTCTTCCTTATATCTAATCAAAATCTACCCTCTTTCGGTTTAAATCTATTGCCCCTTGTCCTATCACTACATGCCCTTGTAAAAAGTCCCTCTCCAGCTTTCCTGTAGGCCCCCTTTAAGTACTGGAAAGCTGCAATAAGATCACCTCGGAGCCTTCTCTTCTCCAGGCTGAACTAAGTGTATTAGGAAGGATAACTGATAAGGTAATTGTTAAATCCATGCTTAAATTTTTAGGGAATTATGTTGCATTTGATTGAAATGTGTCCTGTTTTTTTTCCCCATTGTCTAGGTGATTGATATAGGTTCTGGAAAAGGTTACCTGAGTTCATTTTTGTCCATGCAATATAACTTAAAAGTTTATGGAATTGACTCCTCAAACACCAACACTAATGGTGCTCATGAAAGGAACAGAAAATTGAAGAAACACTGGAGAGCATATCAGAGTCGAGCAAGAGCAAACGTTGAAAGCCAGAGGTTGGAAAAGGCAAATGACGGGCCAGTGCAAAGTGAAATTAAGTGTGAAGCAGTCAGTGAAAAGCCCTTGAATAAGAACAGCAGTCTTCAATGTCAAGGCCAAGTGACTATTCAGGATTTAGTTCCTTCTTGTAATTTCACAGAAATAGCTACATCTGGAACGAGCAAACAGACTGAAGTTGATTTGGTGACTCGGACACAGTCTGATGAGGACAAACTTTCTGAAGAGGCTCTTGCTGTTCTAAATGTTCTGCCTGCTGATGCTGTAGAACTTTTTTCTTCATCTCGGTGTAACAATGGGGAACTCTGTAAGGAGGAAAAGGCACAAAGAAAAATGGCATCTCTCAAGGCTCAGGCGAGCAAGTCAAGTGAATCAAACCTGTATCTTCCATTGACCTGTTGCATCACTGCAGAAACAGAACTCAGTGACATCATAACAGATCTGGAGGTTATTTTACTAATATTTGAAGGAGATTGTCCGTTGTCTTTTCATTGCTATTTTCATATGTACGTAATGTTTGCTGAGTGTGCACAGAGTGCTGTCAGTGGTCAAAATAAATATTGTGGCCCAATAATGTTTTTCAGAAAGTTAGCAGAAGTGTGTCCAGCAGATAGAGATTGTTTTTCTATTTTAATACATGTGTTGGAATTATTCTGAATATGCAAAGCAGCCTTTAGAATTTATGGGGTAGAAATAATCAGCTGTCAAATTTAACAGCATACATATTAGCACGTTCAGGTATTTTACAATTGTGGTTATAGATAAGGTGTAATTATTATGAAAAGATTTGTAGATAGATGGATATATTAAGCACTGGAATTTAAACTTTGCTGAAATTCCTTATTTTTGAAGTTTTATATTTTTGCAATTTCAGTTAATTTCAGTTAAACTTTGAAGGCCTAGGAGAATTTATTGTGTGTAATACTCAACATAGTTTGTAAAGAGCCCTATTTGCAAGTAATGTTTTTATATTTTGACTCTTCAGAGTTACTTTAAGTTATTTAGTAATTTAGCAGCTGATGGGGATTGTGTCTACAGAAACAAGCCCAAGCTCAGCTGCCCAGAGACACAGTGACACAAGCCTAGAAGCTGTATGGCTGTTTAATTCCTATGCCTGAGCCAACGTGCTTTGATTGGGTGGATATATTCAGGCTTTTATGGAAAGATGAAAACTTGCCTTTGTTCAGTAGTGACTGAACTATTATATTCAGGGGTGTAATTCGTCTCTGATTCAAGATCATTAGTTTTTGCTGATGCCCTGTAACTTGAGCTAATAAATCTTACTGTGTATCTGAGAACATGTGGAGCAAGCTTATATCTGTCTGCAAAAGACACTCTGAACAGCAGTTTGTTGATGGAGCATACACCTTTATATTTGCACAGTTGGGTTTTGTGTCCTCTTAGCGTGTGATTTGTATGATGTAAAAGGTGGAAGAAGTCCTATATCACTGACTGACTTTATTTAAAATAAAAAATACTGTCAGAAAAGGTAAAAGCTTCATAGTGGTAAAAAGTCAGTAATAACCTATCTGCACTCTGTGTGATTAATGTGTGTAATTAAAATACTTTAAAATGTGCAATCATTTAATATTTTTTAAGTATTTTGAGAATTTTTAGAAATAAAATATTTTTAGAAGTAGTTTTACAAATATTTACAATTTTTTATTGTAACTATAACTTGATTTTTTTTTCTCAATTTTTCCTAAGCTGAGGACAAATGGGAAATGGGGAAACTAGTATTTACTGATCTATACCATAAGTTCTGAAATCAATTTGCTGATGAAATATGGGTGTAAGAATGCTTGTTTGTATATAGCCCAGGATTAATATTGAGATATTCAATCTTACTACACTTAGGCCAGTGATCCAGAAAGTACTTTCAGTTATACCCAGGCAACCTCGCTGAAGTCAATGATAGTCCAAAAGTACCCGCCACAGACAAACTGTCCTCCTAGTCAGAAGTTTTGAGCATCTTAATGTGTTTCCTGTGTCTCACATGTGGTAGCCATCTTCCACTAGCTTTCTCCTGAAAGAATCTCTTTAACTTTCCCTGTCCTGGGGTTTGAATACTGCCCTTGCAAGTGCACAACTTCCCTTAGCTTTCAAACTTTAGTCTTGTTCCACTGTTTCTGTAATTGCATGTAGAAAAAAGCTGTGTGGAATGGTGAGCTGAAGCTGACTGATAGAAAAAAAGTCTTTAAAAAACTAAGCTGAACTGAAACTGAACTTTTGCCACCTAAAAACTTTGGACCCTAAGGCAAGGAGAGGGCAAGAACAGAGAAGCAGCACAAAGTGGAAGGTGAGAAAGGGAACAGGAAGAATTAAAAAGTAGAGGAAGAAAGGGGAGGTTTTACTGTTTTGCATATGTTATTATATAATACAGATGTGTGAGAAAATCAAATGTAGAGCAGAAAAAATAGATATACACATAAAGTCTAAATGATTATAGAAAGTTACCACAATTGAATGCCCCTGGGCTAATTTCTTGTTGGTAACCTTGTTAATAAATAAGGCTGAAATTCAAAACACCACCATGTTCCCCGTGTGGGTTGCAACTAATAACGCCAGAAGGGAAATATCTTGTTAGGCATGGTGAGAAGAGGGATAATTTGGATGGAGAAATAGAGGGCAAAGGGAAACTGAGGAAGAGGAAAGCAGGAGATAGATTGGACAGAAGAACAGAGCACTGAGGTTCTTACGTTGTGCTATGGAAGAAAATGCCCGTTTGCTGTTGAATAGTAGTAAGTACACTGCAAAACTGCAACAGTACTACAGTTCTGGAAATAACAAAGGAGATGGAGAAGGGCCTGCTCTTCAAATTACACTTACCTTTAGGAAATGTGTTTGATTGTAGCAATTCAAAGTAGCAGAAGTGCCATAAATAGGTCCAGCCAGACATACGATGATAAATCTGAAGAAACGGAGATAGCAGTGGTAGTAATAATAATAACAAGAAAGCTAGGAAAGACAGGACAAAGTGGCCAGTGTCCACTCACCATGTAGATGTTCCCTTCCGTGCAGGTAAACCAGCTGCTATTCATAGTCTTGAACTTTTGCTTTCTTGTGGCCAGTAAAGTGCAGAGATGTGTAGTTACACAAATTAAAATTAAAATTGCTTACCTGAACAAAGCAATGGGCGGTCTGGCTCTCTGCAGAGGCAATGCACCATTTTTTCTGAGCATCGAAGAGCTTGTATTATACGTTGAAAAATTCTAGACCAGAACAGCAGGAGCCCTCTTGGGGTTGTGTATTTAAACCTTACAGCTCGATAACCATTTGCGGCATGTTTGGGTTTTGGAGTTTGTTGTGATTCGTGCTCTTTCAGTTGAAGAGGGAGATGCTTTATTGTTGCTTTTTTTCTTCTTCTTCTTCTTAGGACTGTATGATGGTGGGTCTACATACATGTGGTGATCTCGCTGCAAATACGCTACGAATTTTTACTGCCAAGCCTGAAATCAAAGCAGTTTGCAGTGTGGGCTGCTGCTATCATCTATTATCAGAACAGTTTGAAAACCAAGGTAACTCTTCTGAGCTTAACTTGTGGCTGCCAGTTGGCATGTTGAGAGTGTTATACCTTTTAATTAATAACCTCCTTGTGCTTGTTCCTTTCCAGTGGCTTACTTAGTACTGGTTTCAATTACATTATGCGGGTCATTCACTCCTGAATGCCCTGTAGCTTTTCTGTTATGCCAATATTCCTAATATTCTTCCGAGAACTGGGGACCTTAATGCAGAATGTTTTTATGTGGTTATGAATACAGCTGGGTTTATTCCATTACTTCACTTGTAAAATGTGGAGGCTTTTTTTGGTCCAATATCTTTTCATCCTTTTGAAATATTTTGTACCAGATTTTGCCCTTGGCTGTCTGCAAGCAACAGCCATTTATTTTGAGTTGTACACATACAACTATGAGTAGAATTAAGTCCTTATAACGTAAGTTATTACTCAAAAAAACTCTCATCTGAGTGCTGTGCTCTGGGGCATTGCCAGTTTAGATCATTATGGAACAGTACATATATAACAGTTTTTCTTGCGGAGACAACCTGAAAATTATGTGGGGATTCACACTACAGGCAAATTTTCCTTCAAATGCGGGGTTTTTTCATTTTTGATAGAAAGTTGGTACCTTTACTTGAAAGGTGAATTCAGAATAGTGAAAAACATTAAGTAGCTGACTTTCCTGACGTAAGTGGTACATAGCTGAGCTGTCTAAATGACCATCTGCCAGAGTCCTAGAACCTGAACATCATATCAAACAAATTTGAGAGAGGGGTTGATTGGCAAAGTTGATTTCAGCTCTTCCAGGGAACTTCACGGACAGAAAGGCAGGTGGAACCCAGCTGCTGCTCTGTAACAGTTGGCTGCTCAGGCATCGAAGGCACAGCTCCAGACTGACCACGACAAATGCTAGCTCTTGCTTGCTTTAATGATCTTTCCATGTTATTTCTATCTTGCTCTGCAACAAAATTAAGAGGTTTTGCAGTGTGTTAATTTCAGTTATTTCACAATACTTCAGATAATCCCAAAAACAAAGAAAAAGAAAATGCAATAAAAATTTCTAAGTTCTAGAAGTGTGATCAGTAAAAAACATACAGTTCCTTTTACATCAGAGTTTTAAAAAAATATTAGACTTTTTGGGCACTTGTCATTAAGTTTGCGTGTCTGAAACATTTGGTTGCTTCTTATTATTGCAGAGGACATGATACCTTTTCTAGCTATAGGATTACTTTTCCCAGACCAGTGCATAAGGCTTTAGTAAATTACTGTTACTCAGACACCACCAAAGGATTAGGTGTGATAACCTATTCTAAATTCAAACAAACAGGCATACGTGCACAGTGGTAAGAGATACTGCAGTTTCATAGTAGTATGGAAATTGCATGTCGGAATTTATAGCTGTTTGATTTTTCTCAGCTAGAAGGATAAAAGTTATTCTCAAAGAAGAACCTTCAGGCAGAATAAAAGGAAATTGCAGTATTCTTGTGTTGGGAAATAACACATAAGTAGTTCCAGTGATGCTCAAAAAATTTGATTTTTGTTTTTACTGTTACTATGAGGGTACATATTCTAAAATCCATAATGCTGTTGTATTCCCTTGGGAAAGTCACCTACTATATGGCTTGTTCATAAATGCGCAGTGAAGGGGTGAGAGCGTGAGGACCAACAATATCTAAGAGCTAAAATTTCTTCAAAGAGAAACAGAAAAGAATTAGGACTGTAGCTTGTGTCTACATATCCTGTGCATGGATTTCAAACTGACAAAGCATTGTGGAGTATGCTAGAGGACTCTCTAACTGATCAGATGGTATGGATCCAACAATTCACTTGTACAAGAAGTAAACTAATTCATCTTGCAGCTGTCTGAGGCAAGTGAATTTTGGTACTGCTTCCAAAATGGACCAAATCATAGAATTGTGATGAAATAATTTAACTTGGAAGTGGCTTCTGGAGGTCATCTGGTCCATATTGTGGCGCAAAGCAGGGCCAACTTCGATCAAGTTGTTCAGGGCCTTGTCCAGTTTTGTTTTGAGTATCTCCAAGGACAGTGATTCAGCAGCCTATGCCAATGTTTGCTCTCACCACAGAGATCTTTTTCTTCTTAGCTGTTCAGAATTTGCAGTTCTTGTGCATTATCTGTTGTCTTTTCATTGTGCACCTCCAAGAAGAATTTAATCTTTCCTGTTCCCTTAAGGTAGTTGAAGACAGCAGTTAGATCCCTCCTTGACCTTCTCTGCAGCCTTGTAGTCCTCTTGCCACCACCGAACTCATTGCAGTAAGGCAGTGTGGTGGGCCGCAGAGCCCAAAGAAGCACTCTAGATACTCTCACTCTCACAAGTGCTAAAAAGGGGAAATAATCACATCCCATAACCTGCAGGCTTCACTGTTAAGCTTCAGAGTCCTATCAATTTTCTGCCCACCTTAGAGTCCACCTGTCTGAGTCGTATCTTTCCAATTTGTCTGTAAAGATACTAAGAAAACCTTGCTGAAAGCCTCGCTAAAGTCAAGGTAAACTATGACTATGCTCTCCGCTAGTTCATGAAGCCAGTCACTGCTTTACAGAAGGCAATCAAGTTTTTCAGTCCCTGATAAATTCCTGTCTGCTATTCTCAATCTTATCTTGAACTTCATGGACTTGAGCATGATTTCCAGGAAAATTTGCTTCATAAGCTTATTGAGAACTGAGGTTAGACTGAAGATGGGTGTGATGTTTTCCTTTTTCCTTTCATCAGGAACTTCCATTGATAGATGTGACCTTTCAAAGATGAAAGGTCACACCAGCCAGTTGCCTCAGCTTCCTGAAATGCATCCCATCTGGTCACATGCACTTGTGTATTTCCAATTTGCTTGTGTGATCCCTGAGCCAATATAATCTTTACTGTAGGTAGTCCTTCACTTGCCCAGGCTCTGACACTAAGCTCAGGGAACCTACTGGCTAATCTAGGCATCAACCAGAGATTGCAGAGACCTGTAGAAGCCTTACATGGAGAGACTAGTTTGAGTACTAGGATACAGATTTAGAGCTAGATCTCTGCGATGGTGGACAGAAGATCTTCCTAAGAAGCAGGAAGAATTAGGCAGAATTTGCTGTGACACAGGAAATCACTCATTTGTTTGAAATCAGTCCATTAAGCAATGGCTTACCTGCAAGGACACAGAGGGAAGTTCTGCTATAAAGCATTTTATACTCATTTTATCTTAACTTAGTAGACTTGAGGCTTCTCTGTTTTAATAATGTCGTTGCTCTATTTTATATTTATATTAATTTTTTGCCCAGTTTAAAAGCTTTTTTATCTTCTCAAGGACAACGTTGAGCAAGTCCACCTCAAAGCCCCTTCCCCTAAAGTAGCATGTTTTCCATCTTTACAGTTTCTTTTTCTTTAATGTAAATGCATATGGTTGTTCTCATAAGCCCAGTTGAGGCAGATGTGCCAGCCCACAACAAAAAAATGCTGTGGCCTGGCAGTTGCCATAGCTTGAGATGGCTACGCTGTATGTAGTTTGGCAGTTAAGTTTTATTTAATACCAAGGTCAGTCTTGTTTGAGGCCAATGAAAAATTGCTTTTCCACTTCATGTTAACTGGAATTAACTGATATTCACGGAAAGAAATTTTACCCGTTTTGATGTCTAAGGTAGCATTTATAAGTCTGAGGTGGTGAGTTGACCAAATTTCAACAAAATGTTACAATGCTATTTTTGGCAGGCTATTGAATCACCTTGGTTATCACAAGTTTGGAATTTTTTTTGTCTCTGCGGAGCTGGCTACAAGGAATAATGCCTTACATTTCTCATATATTTAAAAATAGTAAAGATACTGCAAGATTGCGTGATTCAGTTTGCCATTGGACTCAGTGTGAATGCTTGGGGAGCATTTCTGATGAAAGTAGGTGCCAGTAGTCACAGTCTTGAATATTTCAGTTAGTGTTCACTGTCCTTCTGTGTGTCTATAAATAAGCTAAATTCATTTGGAAATTTTTGTAATGGGATGACACTTCCAGTTATGCTGGGGATAATTTTGAACTCTTTAAGATCATGAAAGTCTTTCTCTTTTATTTATTAGTAACTACAACAACCAAGAGGTTTTGTGTAATATCAAATTTCAATTGAACTAAAAAAGTTGAAGCCAGTAACTTAACACCTGTCTTTAAATTTCATTGCTATTATAAGCAGCACCAAATACTAAATTTCAGTTAATAAGGAATATTATGACAGCTCTTGGAAAATCCTAAGTAATTTTACTTTGACTTCCTCTAAGGAGAATTGGCTATTTATACAGAGATTCTTCTATGGATAAAATGCACTTAGCCATTAGTATAATTGATTCCTTTGGGGTTTTCCTTCACTGTTACTGCATTGGATAGTCAATTACATCAGAATAGTAAGGATTTTACTGTTTATTAGAGACTTTTTGCATAAACCTATTTACATAGTGAGCCATTATGGCAGTTTTTCTGGCAAAAAAAACCCCAGTTTGCTAATGATACTTAGTTTAAAAAAAAAACTGTGTGCCTCTTTGGAGGAGCTACTCTCGGGATTTTCTGGGAGCTGTTTTATCTTACGTTCAGCTAATACATTTCTGGGGCAATGTACCAGCTGGACTATGGTTATTCTTTAACAGACAGTAACTGCAAATTTAAGATCTTTTCAAAAAGACTTAACTTTCCTTAAAAATGAGTTGATGTGTTTCTCTATTGTAGCTCTCTTCCTTCCATCCTCTGTACCACCAAACACATCAGTATCAGTCTAGGAACCAATGAAATTCTTCAATGTGATATTCTCTGCTTTAATGAAAAAATACATGAACATTACTATTACAAAGGAGATACTTATAAATAAGTATTTGATAATTGAAATAAGACATAGGTGTAGTTGTATAGGTAGTTTCAATGATAACTGTCTGATAGAAACCGTTTTTGAGATTAGCTTGAGTACTGCAAATCATGAACTCCAGCTTTTGAAAGGATTTCCTGTGTCAAGTCACTGCTTTAGGAAGAAGATATATGCTGGACAGAGAAGTT